GGGGGGGTTTAAAACATTTACCTGTACTTGTAAGACTCGCTCTTCAATACGCAAATATCATTTGGAAGGCAAGCCATGCATATAGTGCTGTTACGGGGACTTGCATTTGCTTGGTTTGACCGTGGGTCAACATATTTACTGTAAAAACGCTAAACAGAAGATCTAGCAAATAAGCAATTGGTAATGAGCAGATATCTCAAGACAGGATTGCAGTGTCTGACTTTTTGCTTTTTTCCAACATGCAGGGAAGTTGCGCCCACTCAAGGGGGACTGCACAAAAATGCAAGAAGACTCCAGTGGCGTGGAAAGCTTCTTGTCTTACCCCAAGACATGACCCATGAATCAAAATTAAGGTTCAGTCATAACATGGTTAAAAAAGAAAGTTTGAACAAAGTACGCTGGAGCAAATACAATGGAAAAAGACGACCTTAGCAGTAAGTGGCATATTTGAGAAATCTCTAAGACTCCCCCCCTCACCTCCGTCCCCCCCCCCAACCTTCCCTTTCCTTGTTCCGTCCGGCGGGCGTTGTATCGAAGTTGACGTCATTTGAAAAGCTTTACAGCAGTGAATAAATGTGTGTTAAAACATGTCCATATTCTTCTTCTACCACAGTACACGCAACTCTCAACGGCACTTATGGTCAGCCATATTGGTACGGTCACGAACTTGATCTTTGAGGAAGTTTGAGCTTCATATATCCGAGTGTGGTTCGAAAGAGTTTCTCATACTCGTACTTAAGGAATATCCTCTCAGCCCTGTATCCTGGCGTGAGAGCAACCTGCCGTGTAATGAGGCTGTAACCTAACATAGATACAGCCCTCCATTTACGTATCATATTTGCTCAACAGCTGATATTGTTAAAAACATACTTTACTTTAACTTTACTTTTTCTTTCCTCTAGTATTCTTAGGATGTCGAGGGGAGGTGCAGGTTTTGGTCCTGTGCTAGGTGTGTAGCGTCTGTGATAGATATGTTGTTCCAGGACCTTTTAAACCCCATCCAGCCAGGTCTTTCTTCGTCTTCCTCTTGATTTGAAATCGGATTCACGGGTGTTGTAAGCTCTAGCCGCTAGTTGTTTGTGGGGCATTCTGGTTAGATCTCCAAACCATTTGACTCCCTGACGCTCTAGGAAATTTATTACTGGTATTATTCCGGTTTGTAGACGTATGGTTTCGTTCCTTATGCGGTCTCTTCTGGTGACGTTGATGGTTTTGCGGAGACACCTCATTTTGCATGTATCGACTTTTCTTTCCTTGTGCCTTGTTTAGAGACCATGTTTGACACTGGTATGTTAAAGTTGGTATAGTATAAAGATGCTATTGATGAGCTGGGATTGCACTTCGGTTGGGATGTTCGTGTGACTGAGCAGGGGTGCTTGCTGGTAGGTCACTGCATTTTGCATTCATAGTTCTCGTTTCTATTTCTTTGTCCATACGCCCATTTTGTGTGAAGATGTTTCCCAAATATTTAAATTCCTCTACTTGTTGGAGCTGTGTACCGTCAATAAGGATGTTTAGTTTCCCTGGGCTTCTGCTGACCTTCATAACTTCTGTTTCTGAAAAGGAGAGTTTCATGTTTGGATGTTTATATTCCTTATTTTCTTTTGTGGTGTGTTTTTGTAGTTCTTCTTCCTCTTTATTTAATATACTCTGATCATTAGCAAATAGAAGCTCGTTCAGTTCAGTGAAGTTGTCATTTGCTGCTTTCGTGATCTTATCCATGTAAGTGATGAAGAGAAGCGAAGAGAGAGAGCACACCCTTGTCTCACCTCAGACCTGATGGGGAACCAGTCCGGTAGTCCTTCTGTTGATCCAACTGCACACAGGCTGTTTTTATAAAGTGCCATAATGTTCTCCACCTATTGTCCTGTTACACCATATTCCCCTAAGACTCCCCAAAGATGACATCTATTTACCCCGTCGAACGCCTTTTCCTGATCCACAAAGACGATTTTGAGGTCTTTGCCATATGCAATGGCAGTCTCACACAACTGTCTTAATGCAGAAAATAGCGTCAAAAAACCCATACTCAACGTACAAACGCATATATACACAGACAAGCTGACAGACTGAGAAACAGACAAGCAGACAGTCAGTCAGAGAGAGAGAGAGAGAGAGTGTGTGTGTGTGAGTGAGTGAGTGTGTGTGTGTGTGTGTGTGTGTGTGTGTGTGTGTGTGTGAGAGAGAGAGTGAGAGAGAGAGAAAGAGAGCTAGAGAAAGAGAGAGACGGGCAGAGACAAAGAGAGAGAAACACAGAGAGAGAGAGAGAGAGAGAGAGAGAGAGAGAGAAGATATAGGGAGACAGACAGAGGCAGAGAGATGGAGAGAGAGACACACACACACACAGGCAGCTTGAGAGAGAGATAGATAGATAGATAGATAGATAGATAGAGAGGAGAGCGAAAGACAGTGAGACAGAGAGAT